GGACCTACAGCTGGCTATTTTGATGTTATCAGCAAAAAAACCTCCTGACTGCAACTACAACAGAAGGGTTACTATGGGCAATTCCTGTCATCAAACGTGTGTCTAGCTGGATGATAAGCTCACCAAAAAAGGGCTCGAGCTCAGCTGACAAACAGCATGACAGAGAACATGAGTACATACAATAACTATACTCTATGACATGTTTGTCTATAGCTAAAACTACACAGAACCTCACCATGGCCAGATTTTGCTCTAGTCCCTGTGAGCCTAAGTGTGTTTTTCAGTTTGAGGGTCTATTTTCCACTTAATTCCTGGTTCCAAAAACCTACAGTAGCTGTTGGGATATCGACCCTGCAGGCTGTTGTTATGGTGCGCTGGGCCCATGAGAGATGACATGACGGTTGGCTGAGTGTAGAGCTGTTGCTGCTTAGTCAGCTTCCCCTTCAGAGCTGTCTGTCCACACCAGCAGTCTGTGATCAGGCGTGCTTTCAGGGTGTGTTTGTGTGTGTTTTTTTGTGTGTATGCGTGTTCACACACCATATGTTTCAAAGCCCTGCAGCATTTTCATTTAAAGTTAAACAGATGGACTAGAGGAGATACAGGGGATTGTCTCAAGCCTTCAGATGCTACATTGATTCTGTGTGTGATTTATGTGCATGTGTCAGGCACAAGAGACTTATCATCCAGTGTAGGCAGCCCCCTTGTTGCATTTAGCCGAAGGGTCACTGGAGATGTAATTCGCAACAACAACTTGCCAGGGTTTTTTTTTGTAGCTTTTGCAACAAGACAGTTAACTGGAGGGGATTTTTGATAATGAGAACTTTCAAGTTCAAACTTAAAAGTGTACTCCAGTGAATTACTATTGCATAAAGATGGGGGACTTGCAAGAGACAGATTCAAAAATGGATGGTCGAATTTGAAGTAGCAGTGGCAGAGATGCCTTGACTTTTAGTCCCTAATATATGTCAACCTCCTAACACACTGGAGCCTACACTTCTCATAATGCAACTCAATAGCATCTTTTGGTAGAAGCCACTGCCTGGTAAATACCCAGCTGTTTTAAAAATCCACGCCTTCAGTTTGTAACCCAGGCTTTCAGTTAAATATACAGACTTCAACTCCTTGCTGAGATACCTTTCAAAGGAATAGTTCGGCAATATTGGAAATAAGTTTATTCACATCCTTGGCAAGAGTTAGATGAGAAGATTAATACCACTCTTACACCTTTTCAGTAAATATGTAGCGTCCACTGACTGGTTACCACGTAACCCCAACATCCACCGTTTGAATCCAGGCAGGGCGACCTTTATTGCATGTTACATCCCTCTCTCTCTACACTGTCAACTCTCAAATGAAAGCAAAATGCAAAACAAAATGTTAAGCTAACTGACTGTGGGCTTCGGCTACATATTTAGTATTCAAACATGAGAGTGGTATCAATCAATATTTCTCAAAATATCAAACTATTCCTTTAAAGTCTCACTGTCTCTCTCTCTCTATGAAAGATCCCATGAAAAACAGCAATTGTTTATGTTCACATTAACAATACAGAAAGGTCAGATATGTAACTTTACCTGCTACTGATTTTCCCTAAAACATGTTTGTGATTCCTAAAATAAGGTTTATGCATTTTGTAAATTCACTTCCACATAGAAACCTAAAGAAATCATCCTTCAAATCTCTAAATAATTCAATAGTTATTACACTGTTAGCACCGTTGAGTCACTGGTGTATCACTCGATTATAATTGAAATGAATAAGAAGTTTGACTATTACTGAAAACAACAGTGTCTGACAAGGTTTTGCTGCCAGTATAAAGAAGGAAAAAAAACGAGGTTACTACACAAACTGTGTCCCTGATAGAGTGAAAAACTACCACTCAGGCGTAACTGACATCTGTGTCACAGAGCATGTAGGGGGAATGACAAATGTCCACATGTGAGTTGTCTGATGTTTCTTTTGCTGTATAAACAATGAACCAAACTAAATTTAGACATGGTTGTGTATCTAGGCTACATCAGATCTCACTTGGAGTAAAGCACTATTTCGCCTACGCCCACTCTGTGAGTGACATATCCAACGCTGCAGCTGCTGGGCTGACAGCGCTCAGGGGGGAATCGCTTCACTTCAAATGACGCCACTGAAGTGACAGTGAAACAAATCGTTGAGAGAGAGAAACAGTGCAGTTACTGTATTTGCAGTCATAAAAGCGAAACAATGAAAGGTACTGCAGATGAAAGTCAGTAAAAGGAAGTTAACTTTGGAGGCTATTTGACATTCATGTCTTGTTAGTGCAGGCCCAGAGCAGTGAAACATGGAGCAACGCTTGGCAGCGCTGATAGCTGAGGAGGGGAGGTCAGTGAAAGTTTGCCTCAGAACATGCCACAGCATCTTAACTGCAAAGATCACACAAATAAAAGGAGACACAAATGATACAAATCCATACCTAGCATAATAAAACAAAGACTTTTGTTTTAGAATTACTGTTACAGTTTCCAATACTGACTTCCATTACTAACTGGAGTTAAAAACCTAATAACTGCAAGCGATCAAGCATTACAATCTGCTTTGATCCAAATCTTCCTAAAAGCTAATCTGCTCTCCTGCAAACTCAGCCAGCTTTAAACTGTCAATAGATTGCAGCCTGCAGCTTCCTATGTGGTTCACCACAGGAATGGTGGGGAGTGGGAAGAGAGAGGGTGGGGCAGTGCAGTGTTTAAGGAGGATAAATTCTGGCTGAGACCCAATCCCTGCATGTGGGCCTGATCCACCCCGACACCCTGCCTGAGAGCAGTCTTAGTCTGCTCCCACAGCTGGAGCTGGAGGAAACATTAGGAAATAACAAACTGAGTGTGTGTACACATCACAGGGAAGATGGGGACAAGCACACCTGCCAGCCGGAGTTACTGCTTTCATATTAGGAGTGTTGGGACAATGTGGGAACAGAGAAAACTGCTAGGAATGAAAAATAAAAGTGTGGAGAAATGGGAAAGAGAGTTGGTGGAAGGTTACTATGTGCTGCTTGCTCAGCACTTGAGAAGAAGGACTCTCCTCTGCTAAAAATACATGTAGGTTTCGTTGTCCTCTCTGGCCTCTGAGGTGCATGGATCCTTGAACTGTCTCACTTCAAATCTTTGGGAGGTGCTTCTTGAGATCCTCAACTGCATTTAAAACATAGTATAATACCAACCCTCCTAATTTTCATAAACAAATGGAGGAAAAAAACTTGCTTTTGTGACTCCCATCCCAACACCATTCATAATGACAGAGCTCAAACATTCAACAGGGGAGCATCCGTATCTTGTGTGCCAAATTTTTACAGGTCTCTGCTAAAACGATGACAGAATTTACAACCCTGTGACATGGTAATTACACTGGGTTGTGTAACACTCTTTTTTGAGCAGCTACTTTAAGGAAAGCCCTTCACTCACGTAAACTGAGAGGGTATCCATAAATATTGACTGGATATAGAGTGACCAATATCCTTGGTGCAGTCTCACTCCCACCACCAATATGTCATCCAGAGAACTGGGTTTTGACCCAAATTAGATACTGTTCTTGATGACGATGGTGAAAAACTTTGCCCTGCCTGGAATGGGGATTACCTGCAGTTCACAGAGGGTAGTAATACTTTTTGGATGGCTTGTGCAACACATTTATCATCTTTGACTTTACAAATGTATCCTGGTGTTTTTTTAGCATCCAATGAACCCGACTCCTTCAATGTTTTTTTCGCGGAAGTCCTGCTAAACTTAACCTTACAGTTGCTAGGGTAAAACTCAAAGCCTTAACACAAACTGTGCTGTCAATGTGCGTAAATTAATGATATAAACCTCTGGTCCTGATAGCAGCTGCATTACTTCAACGGTTTCCTTCTGTTTCTAAATCACACTGCACACTTTTACATCACTGAACAGGGTCTGCATAGTTGCTTGTTTAAATTATTTTACATCATTGAAATAGACTTGTGAAAGATCCAGTCTCATCAAACACTACATGCAGTGCTAAAATAAAGCAAGTAGAATGGTGTTTGGCGCATACCAAGAATGTCAAACTACTGATATAACAGCAAAAGACCTGTCACTGTTAGTGTATTGTGTGCATCAACAGCATTGTGCTGGCTGAGCTCTATACACCCTCCCTGTCACCACAACCTGCCCTCAGGCATTACATTTTCTGCTGTCACTAAGTGTGCCATATTTCACAGAGTTAACCTCATCCTCACAGGCAGGGGGACAGCACAGCTCTCCTGGATTCATCTGCCACACTGTGTGTGAACAGCAGCAGTGTGATCGGCTGACTTCAAGCTGAAAATGAGTTGCTTTAAAACGAGTATGAATGTCCTGACCAAACTGAGCGTCATTCAACCAATGGAGTCACACTCCACTATTTTCATCAAAGGTTTCATTGAGAGGTTACCATCACACCTGCAGAAACGGGCAGTTATGCAATTCTGACAATCACAAGGAGGGGCTCAATAGGTCAATGCCCCATCAAATGGCGAATGACCAGTTATCTAATTTATGTATTTCTGCTAGTTCTAATCATGAAAAAGTTAGAGGAGCCATTCATGCCTGGTTAAGTGATGTGGAGGAATTGTGAGAAGAATTATTCGCCCAAAACCACCGTGAATGCACCGGCCAGAGCACTATGTCCGCTCAAAACATGTTTTTACGTTACAAATACCAGCTAATAGACACGTTAATCAGGCTAATTATCGCAAAGAGCCTGGTGCCAGCTGTTTTTATGTCAGCACGCGGGGCCTTTCTGGGCACGTAACCTCGCGCTGAGCTCAGCTGAACCTGGACAACTTAACCCACCTGGACATTTATATGTACACTGCTGCCCAAACAGACAACGGTTACCGCTGCCCACCTCCTCAGAAACACACATTAATTCGGTTGGATAAATCTCTCGCGCGAGCATTGTGTGTTTGTGCTAACAGCCACACATTAACACACGAGCTGCTTTAATGTTGCGTTCACGGCGAGCGAACTTACCTAAATCATCCATGTTGTGCCGGAAATCGTTACCAATGCTGAGAACCGGACCGGTCCTCCTCTGTCGATCACAGCTGGACTGTGAGCAGCCTTTTCAGCTCCTAATCACCAAACCTCCGGTAGCAGATCTCCCCTCGCTGAACGCAGTGAAGTTTTCAAGTTCCCCCTGCTGCTCGACGAGCCTCAAACACACTCACAAACACACTCACACATACACACATACACACACACACACACATACACACAGAGAGACCCAGCTGCCCCCCCTGGAGTCTCCAACAGTCCACATCCAGCTACCCCCTTCCTCCGCCTGCCCACCGGCCCCACCACACAGGGACCAGCGACATCTAGCGAAGACTTGGAGAACTAAGATCTACGGTATTTAATTTAATCTTATAGGCTAATTGACAGTATTGGAGCCCACATCCTATCACAGCTCCATTCTACATAAATTGACGGAGATATGAACATCCCTCAGTTTTAATGCGCAAGGAAATGGCAAGATGTTTTCTTCCAATCAAAACAATCAAATTGTTTACTTCACAATACTGTTTTTCTTTTTTGAAGGTTGCATTACTGACTCGTTAGCTACTTCTACACATACAGTACATCTGCACTAACATTTCCACATTTCATTTACTCCGGTAATTTTACAACTAAGGTTACTGACATTTTTTCACATTTCATTCACATCATACAACAGTTACTTCTCATCAAGTAATTTGATTGGACGAGAGGCATTCCATGGGAGCTGATATAGAGCATAACAGTACTGGTACTTTTGTGCTGATATTCAGTACAACATCACTCCCTCTCGTGTGATATTGCTTAATTAGATTCATTATACTGTAATTTTTTACTTTACCTTACTATTAATTTTATAGGGGGCAGTGCTGACCAGACCTGGCCAAAACGACAGCCAGCACCCTCTGGCTCCACGCACAGTGAGCAGCAGCTTGAAGATGGTGTCTGTTAGGATGCAGCCGTGTGTGTTAACAGTTTTACCTATAGATCCTGGGCGAGACGGTGCTTATCGGTGAATTTAGAACTTTTTTTATTTTTATTTTTTTTTACAGCATATAACATAACAACATTAAAAAATGATCTTAATTCTACTTTTAAACAATCCTCATATTTTTACATCTTTATTACAATAATTATTATAATATACTTTACATAGTCTCTTGAAGTTGGACAGTAAAATTTATAAAAAAGTCCTCATAGACACAAGTCAGTGAATTAGAATGCTATAACTGTAATTTACTGATGGTAAATTAACTTTGCTCTTTGACTTAATACTGACAAACCTGTAGCTGTAGTTGACCTACCTTGAATATTTGAGCCATTTTTGGATTCATAATTTCCAGTCTTTACTCCAGTTTCCTCACAGTTGTAGGTTATGTCTCCTTTGCTTTCCTCTGTTTCCCTCTGCCTCACAGCTTTTGTCCTCTTACTCTGTCTACTGAATGATAAATGAGGCAAAATGTGAATGAGAAAACAACTGTGACAGAAGGCAAACAAAAAAAACTGCAAGTGAAGAATAAATCTAATGGAGAAACAAGACAGTTGATATCAGTTGTCCTGTTTCGATTATGTAATATGATCAGGCTTTTTTCACTCCTTTGCTTTCATGGTTCAATTCTTTGATCCTCAGTTCAGTGTTCTTGTTCTTGGTTTACAGTTTCATTTTCTCATTTATTGGTTTTGATTTACATGCAGTTTGTTATTTTTTTGCTTTCAAACATTCTGGCCCTAAATTACCTGCATAAATAACCCTGTAGTTCAGTAGCCAACTATTTGATTTGGAGCTGATTTTTATGACAGCATTGCCTAATACTCTTAAACACAGGGGCATGACTGAAGTTACTGATGGCTAAATTGGTCTGGTGTTTTATCTACAGCCCCTCTAATTAGCACAAGGGATGTTCATGATAACCCGTGTAATCATGAATAGGAGCTTCCAAACAATGTCATGCATTCACTCAGCAGTATCCCCATAAGATCTGGTGTGTGCACAATAGCTGCCTATCCTTCAGGTAGATGGCATCCATGTTCAGGGACCAGTCCAGTTTACTGTCCAGGTTCACACCTAGGTATTTATAAGTGTGCACCACCTCAATGTCCTTCCGTCGAATGTTGACTGGCTGAAGGGTGGGCCTAAACCTCCGAAAGTCAATGACCATCTCCTTGGTCTTGGAGGTGTTCAGAAGGAGGCAGTTCTTGTCGCTCCATTCACTGAAGGCCATCGTCAGATCCCTGTACTCCTCTTCCTGCCCATTCCTGATATGCACCGCAATAGCTGTGTCATCTGAGTATTTATGGATGTGGCAGGACTCAGAGTTGTATTTAAAGTCGGCCGTATACAGGGTGAACAGGAACGGAGCCAGAACAGTCCCCTGTGGAGCCCCAGTGCTGCTCATCACTGTCCCTGAGACACAGTTACCCAGCCTGACGTACTGTGGTAGCCTTGTCAGGTAATCCACAATCCAAGACGTGAGGCAGGGATCCACCCCCATCCCTTCCAGCTTGTCTTTAAGGATGGGGGGTTGGATGGTGTTAAATGCACTTGAGAAATCAAAGAACATAATCCTCATGTAACTACCTGGCTCATCCAAGTAAGAATGGGCCCTTTGGAGCATGTAAAGGACGGCATCATCCACTCCAATATGTTCCTTGTAGGCGAACTATAGGGGCAGAGGGAAAGAGAGAGAGAGAGAGAGAGACAGCGTGGAAATAAAATTTGAAGTGAAAATGTTTTACATACAAACACAGAATACAATGTAAGCTAAATCCAGATAGTACATTAATACTCTTGAATGAGGAGAGAGCTGATACCTAACCCATTTTACTCACAGTTAAAGTCAGCCCTCTTTGAACAGATGCACCACACTCAGGACAACTCAACAGTTCTCACAGAAAATTCATCCATTATTTTTACAGATTAAATGCCACTGAAGCACTGTATTAAATCTCAATTTTAACCTCTGTGAGAGAGCATTAATTGCACCATCAGCGCACTGTAAAATGCTTCCCCTGATCAATGATTGGTGTAATATTCCTGTAATATTCCTACAGGGACTTACAGTGTGTGCTGTGCAGTTAGTTGGGCTCAGCAGTGAGATTATAGTGACCTAATGATGCTTTAACCAGGGTTTTTATGCCTTTTTTGTGATCTCAACAAGAGCTCTGTTAAAGCTGTCATTTTTATCTTGCTGCATGGTGATTTATAGGTTTGCTTTTGGGGGATTACTTGAGATTTAAGAATCAGCAGGCCTGTAAATTCAATTTTGTGGATACTGTGAGCATTGCAACCTTTGTTTATCATTTTAGATGCCCATTTGACTTATTTCATCTTTCATTTTCTTCAGTGGCCACTAGAGGGTATTCATGTACAAACTACTCATTCAGATTCAATGAGTCACCACTCAGTACTCTATTTAGATGGTGTTCTTGTTTTTAGTTGTAATATATCCATTAACTGTGCACTTTGGCATATTTTATTTCAGGACTTATATGTTTCAGAAATGTTCTGTTTAATTTTTACTTTCATTTCCAACATGATTTTATTAGAAAGACCCCAAAGACCCTGGGGTGCACCAGTAGCTCACCTTGTTAAAAGGCCTCTCCACTGCTACTATCATTAAAGGCAAAAATGCCCAAAATAAATCTTTAAAAAAAAACAAAAAAAAACACAGACCCTTTAGAATATTTATGTTTGAAACTGAGAAATGCTGTAGCCTGCAGTTTGAGTACTAGAGAAAAATAATCTATAAAAACATTTTTCTATGTGAGATTTACCCCAAGGATTTCTCTCTAGCAGGTAGGTCATTATCCTCAGAAACAATAATGCCAAAATTTTGAATCACCACCTTAACGTGGTAGGGGAGAGGCCAGACTAAGAGTGATTCAAAAACCAACCAGATGAAAGGCAATCTTCGTGTCTGTGTCACCCCGCCTGTCATAAGGAACCCGGGGCTCCCTCCTTGAGCCAGACCTGGGAGGGGAGCTTGATGGAGAGTTTCTGGTGACCTGGCGTTGGTCCATGGGGGCCCGATAAGCCACAGCCCAAAATTACATAGAGCCACCTCCCTGTGGGCCACCACCTGGGCTTGGGGCTCTCCCTGGAGAATGAGAAGGTCACTTCTATGCGGCTGGATGCTTTCTATGGGAAAGCATCCCATGGGAGGTTGGGGATGTGGAATCCAAGTGGGCCATGTTCAAAGCCTTCATCAGGAGTTGTGACCAAAGGGGTGGACGATGCTAATCGTGGTGGCAACTAGGCGGTGTTTAACATTTTCAAAAAAAGAGGACTGAAGGGTGTACTCAAATTATTGGCGTATGACACTGCTCAGCCTATTTGCTTCTGAGGGAAATAGCTGGATCTTTAGCTGTTAATCGTGCCACTCTGCTGTTAATCTGCTGTTTGGTGCTGAGTTGGTAGCATACAGTGGGTTTTGTGACTAAAAACTGCTGTTTGTTATGGCCAAAACACTATGGTGTGAGAGCAGTGAGAGTCAACCAGAAGCTGCTTCAAGAGAACAGTCATCCATTTAAGGTAGTATGACTGAGGTTAAAGGGATAATGTGCTATTACTACCTACATCCCCCTTTCTTAATGGCCACAGCCTGTTCCTAGAGACTGTTAAAACTGGATGCATGATGTGAGCTCAAATGTCCAAGTTGATCCAAACACTTTATCCCTCACCACTCCCTCGGTACCTCCTCCCCTCCCCAGAAGACAATGCTTTAGTCTGGGGGTTGACAAGCCAGCACCCCCCTGCCCCAGACTATCCTGCGAGAACAACCAGGGATTTTCACCCCCCTCATCACCCTGCCAAGGTCTGGCAAATGGAGTAGGTGAAGGTGGTCAGGATCACTTGGTGGCATCCTATTGTGTTCCTGCTGCCAAAACTCCACGGTATAGCATTACCCTCCTCACATCATCATAGCACCAAAATAACAACAGGGTTTTGTCTCACTAAAGCCCCCTGTTTCAGTAGCCAAACATTTATATATACACACACACACACACACACACATCTTACTTTGTGCATACGCACAAATATACAGAGGCACGCACACATACAAAGCCACACAGTGTTTTGGATTAATCTCGAGGGGATTTCAGAGGACCACCAACTGCACATCCGCTATTCTCAAGTGCACAAATTCACTACCTAACATGGAATTTAAGATTAGCTGGTATGGCCATGTGTTCAAGCACTAATCCTATGATCCTATAAACATATGAACATCTCTTACTGGCTCTTTTGCATATACTGCCTTCGGGGTCCCATCAGATAAAACATTTCAAAATTCAGTATGAGAAAATAGGCTGGCAACTGTCTTTGAAAACTTTTATTAGACGAACAGGCACAGACCTAACAAATGGATCCTTTCAATGAAAAACAGGCAAGAGGTTTTGAGTCTGTACAAAATGATAAGGAAAATAATTTAATTAGTCTCAGGTGAATGTGGGAACATACTGTGGATAAGGCAGAAAGGGAGAAAGAGAGCTCAATATGTTGATGCTGTCAGTTGTCCATTTTTGGGGGCCTGTGGGAGAACATCCTCTTATTTTGATCCTCTTGTACAGAAGCAATGCAGCCAACATAAGAGTTGAGTGAATAAACAACAGTTCATATCTCCTTCAAGGGCAGTGGGTCAGTTTCAAGTCATGTACGGACAAGAGACAGACTTTCTATTTCATGAATACGTTGGGGAAAGGGTTTACTCCTGGTCCTTCTCCTCTCCGTGGGTAATGATGTGAACCAGGTTCTTGTAGTCCAGGTTTCCTGCCACATCTGGAGGGAAGGCAGTGAACATCTGCTCCATCTTACCAACAGAAAGTAGATATTATCACCACTTTTGTCAGAGCTTTAGCCCCTCACAGAAACAACTCATACTGCAGCTCAGTGTGTGTGAAAAGGTGTGATGATTCACTGAGGTGTTTTTTTTTTTTTTTTTTTTTTTTTGTATGAAACTGCGTCTGATGTGAATGCAGATGATCGTCATGATGACGCTCATCCCTCTGTGCTTTTTGGACTCACCCACACACACAAGCTATCTTCTATAATAATGATAATTAGTGTAAAAAGGATTGCAATGTACCTCTTCAGGAGAGAATCGGTCGGCTTGTGTTGTTAGCATCTGTGTCACACTGGGCAGGAAAGAGGGGAAAAAAAGTGTGAGATGACGTGGCTTGTGTTCACACCAGGAGAAAATGTGCTGGTCATAATGGTCTTTACTCATTGTGGATTTGTACTAAGATGAATGATTGCAGTCAGACTCAGTCATAAATTGTGAGTAAAAGGTGACATAACACTCCTTGTAATTCATTTGCATATTGCAAACTGATGTGGTGTGAGAGTGGAGTGTGTTAAACCACTTACTAATCCTTCCTCAGCACACCTTTCCCCTCAGGGTCAAAGACTTTAAAAGCGTTGAGGATGGTCTCCTCTGGATCAGCACCTAGATACATTAAAACAGCCATTACAATTCTTGAAACATATTTAAATGAACACTGTTGTTCTTAGATTTTCTTTTTATACCTTAAATTTCATCTTTGGCATGTGTGCTCTTACCTTTCAGCTTCTCACCGAACATGGTGAGGAAGACGGTGAAGTTGATTGGGCCAGGGGCCTCCTTGAGCATCTCATCGATCTCTTCCTGTTTCACATTGAGACGTCCTATGGCACCAATCATTCAATGTGAATAAATAGCTACTTGATAAGTAACACAGTTTAATTTAATTATTTGTATAGCTCAACATGAGTTGAACCTTTGGAAACTGTAAGTCACAGTGTCTTATCAGAGTGAATATGAGTGATATACAGCACACCTAGAGCAGCAAAAGTGTCTCTCAGGTCGTTCTTGTCGATGAAGCCGTCTCTGTTCTGGTCCATGATAGTGAAGGCCTGACGTCAGAGCACAGAACACGTAAATGAGTTGCGAACAGATTGCAGCCACATGCTTTCAGCCCACCTCTCAGAAAGAAAACAAAAAAATCCAAACGCTGACACACTTGATTTTATATTCTCTTTCTTCCCATAAATGTTTTGGGTGCCATCTTCATAGATGAACACCGCTAAGTATTTATAACCTGAGAGTCCCCCCGGGGTTTAGCCTGGCATCCAGGGCATGCCCGGCAGTTTATCTGCAGCCTAATCACTGATGACACAGTCTGGATGTCTGGGCACCACTGACCCTCATACCAGCATACCACATGCCTCACTGCTGGCAATCCAGGGATGGGGAAAATAGACAGGTGGGCATACTACAATGATGAACAATGGAAATGGAGAGACATAGAGGGAAGAAGATATAGAGACCGCCATGTGCGTTGCTGTGTATTTTTGAAGAAAAACCTGTATCGTAATCCTCGACATTGGAGAGCTAACATGCGTATTCATACACCCTTTCCACAATTCTCATGTCATTCTCAGCTAAATGTTAATCAGCGAAATAAAAATTGGTTCAGCACTTCTCACCTCTTTGAATTCCTGGATCTGGGCCTGCTCAAACATGGAGAACACATTGGAGTTGGCTCCCTCTGCTGTCCTCTTCTTGGCTTTCTTGGGGGCCTTTTGGCATAAGCAGAGGAGGAGAGATGTGACAGACACTACATGCTAGTTAAATGAAAGCTACATGGCAGACAACATGAAAACATAAATAAAAAGGGACTGTGTGACTTAATAAGAGAAAATGTTGTCCATAAAAAGTGGAAACTTTCAAAACTGCATAAACTACGTTAAAATGTGTGCTTCATTATTTATAAGGATCAAAATCTCCAAAAATTAGTTAGATGTCTAAATCGTGAAGGCAACGACAATGTGACTCATATAATTTCAGTATCTTTTAGCAGGTCATGCAAAATGAAACATCCCATTAAAATACATGTTGCTTGTCATTTGGGATGCATTCAATGGCTGGTGAAAAGTTGGTAAAAGTGGACCCTCTGCAGTGGTAAGCTACTTTCCACCCAAAGATGCTTTAATCTTTTCTTGAAGCTAATAAATCACAGAAAATGTTGAATATTTGCTGGGAAATAGAAAATATATTAGTTTCAAGTGAAGCAATATAGAGATGAGAGCACTGAATTACTCATCTGTCCAAAATAAAAAGCAGCATCCTTGAAGTTAAATAAAAAGCACACCCCACGCCTATCTTTGCACAATCAAAAAGCACACACACTGACTTACCATGGCTGAGCAGCTGGGAGGTCAGACCAACAATGATGCCAGTGAACAATGGGGAGATTGTGGGTGGCCTTTTGTAGCCCCAACCTTCAGCTCTACTGGATGATATTTATAAACTATGCCCTCTTTAGGAAGTGACAGGTAAATGATGCTTCATACAGAACATACAGTATTGCATGCTCACAAAAAGAGCACACGCACACACACCCCTCTGTAGAAACGCGTCGCCCTGTGTTGTCATGATTGACATTGGACAAAGAGAGTGGAATAACTGGTCTAGAATATCAAGAGCAGACTGAAGGTTAAAGCACTTAATCACTTTAAACTGCCCTTAGTCCACAGACCACTGTCTTGACATGTCTAAACTAAAGACAGCAATGGTATTAACACAATCAAAGTGATATTGTAACTGCAAAGATGAAAAGGTATAGAAAACATATTTCGTGTTTCTTTTGGACTGCAGTCTCTCATCTTTCACCTTTCTACTCCTTAGATTTTCAGAAATTGGACGATGTAATGTAGCTGGTAAAAAGGTACGTGAAATACTTTATATATGTCTTTATTATAGATTACATAGTTTTTGTTTTACATTTTATCAAATTAACAGGTTTTCATATTGTCTCATAGCAACCACCTCCACTGTGGTAGGATGGTCTTTCTGGTCAATGAGGGATTATGTTTTGGAACATCTACTTTTAAAAAGTCCTTGGATTAATGAATAAACGCTGCAGATCTTTTTAGAAATTATTTCTATATATAGTATATACAATACTTAGCATGTAGTTCATAGGTAAAACACTTTGAAATGGATGTTTTGTAACCCAACAGATGAAAAGATAGAGGTTTATTTCAAAAGGTGGATTTCAAAGTTTCAAAGATTTTTATATTTGGAAAAAAAAGACAAAAGAAAAAAAAATCCCTCAGTTACCAAAGCCTGTATCCAAGGACTGAAATTTTGAGCTAGAATTTATCTACATTCACCAACAAAAACTTCAACTCTTGATTTGATATTCTGATCCGTGTACCAATCATTTGTATCCAGATTCAATAAAAGGCATGATGAGAGTGTGTAGAAATCACCAGCTCATTAAGTACAATTTATTGACCTGTCAGGACCGTGTTACCGCCAACCTTTGCCACATTTCTCACACGCTTCTTCACATGATTGGCGTTGGCCTACCTTTCTCCAACAATGTTATGGAATGATATGGCACAGCACACATACTGAAAACTATTTATGGGCCCTCATTTATTCTGTGAAGGTAAATGCACTTGCTGACTTTCATGCCAATGAAATGTCTGACTGCCTCTCTTCCAGTGGCTTCTTCTCTGCTGAAGTCTGTAGGTTGCAAAAACTACCACCATGCCACCATGGCCCAAGTTTTAGTGGTTAGATGATCTGCAACTTAACTTCAAAGTAACTGAAATCTGATTTTTGGGAAATATTAGCGAAAACCACTGATTTACATGGTGAAAACCCGGACCTTTTAAAGTCATGAAAGGGAAAATTAGTAGAAAAAGGCAACAGGTTTTATGTGCCACAAAGATGGTCTTTGATCTACCTCTTACACTACACCGGTGTCAGCGTTAAAGAGCTTGTGAAACTAAGCTCAGCGATGTCAACAGGAGTAGGTGCGACATGCTTAAATGTAACACTGCTGGCACTGAACACGTCCTTACAATGTGCCGTGTCCCTCTGCGCCATTAACAAGTCGTCCAGTATCACTTGCTGCTCCCAGGTCAAGAAAAGTGACAGTGTGTGAAAATGAGCTGAATGAGCCGGGGTTAGGAGGTAACACCACAGGCGAGTGATCTAAATAAAGACAGGAGCTGAAAGCACCCCCGCCCCCCACCGCACTGGGTCCACTCACTGTCAAACACAATGCTGTTGATGAACTAACAGCAGATGTCAGTGGTGTCATCTCACAGCATAGTGTGTACAAGGAGGTTAGAATTAGACGAGTTATTGTTAACCAACGAGGCCGCGGCTATTGTTGAAAACTTCAGCTCTGCTCAGTTTCTGATCTGAGCAGCCGCTGCAGCTACTGTGCCTGGAATGGCAGGCCACTGTCGCACTGGCTGAGCGCTAGGATCAGGCACCTATAAATAGGCTAACCTCCTCTAACACAATGGACATGGACAAATGGTCATTTCACTGGCAGACTCAAGTGTGAGTGTTGATTGTAAAGCACTATGAGAGACAAGAGAAAAGAGCTTAAAACATGACCAGTTTTCGCTCTTACCTTATAGAGTTAATAAGGAAGAGTGTGAAGGACAAGTTTCTGTCTACAACTTAAATTAACACAAGCACAACATAAGAAGGCAAATTAGAAGTGAAAGACAATGGTTATAATATTTAATATTCTGTGACAAAATCTCTACAGGGAACGCTAATAAAACATTTGTTAGCAGACATCAACATCATATCCAGCGTTACGGCACTGTGATTCGGGATCATGTGAAAAGAAAAACAAGAAAAAAAGAATATAACAAAGATAAAACAGGATGGGAAACCCTTTTGTATAGAGTCCTATCAAGACCTGTAGAAAACTTGTGCAATCTGTAGCATTGGGTGCTTTCTGTTGAACATTTGTGACCAATGAATCTGTTCTAGCCTCTTGGCTTAAATACATTCAGGAAGATTTCCTACATCTAAAAAGAACAAGAGTGGAATCAGAAAGTTGCAGAACAATCCTCCTATTGAGCGCCCTACTGTTGACAGACACACTTGGCAAGTTAAAATGTGTCCTCTCATCTGTTTCTACTCTAAAAACATTACTAAAAACCACTAAAACATTCCATTTCCATAGGTCAAACTATGACAAATAGAAATAAAATCGGCTTGATCAGTTCAATGAGCTCAATAAATGTGGACGGATTTTGGATGTTTAACTTGCCAAGACAGCCCTAATAAAAGAAAAAAAACAAGAGATTTAGTAATTATAATCATAAGAATTTACTGTGCAAATAGGTAGTAGTTAAAAGAAAGGAGATGTTACTCACGTGCTTCATTCTTGAATTGTGGAATAAAAATATAACCCAAATGAGGCAGAAGCAAGAAGACAACACTCCGTTTCGTTTCAGATATACATATCCATGCCATTGACGAATCAGGAAAAAAACAAAGATTATTTTCATCTTCACCTTGAACAGTTTTGGGTTATATACAATATTAAGGGACATTATACAAAAAGAAATGCTCAAGTACTATGTTGTAAGCTTCAAACATGATCTTTTTTCCCCCTCCTGTCATATAATTCAGCACTGAGGTTTTGCCATTGAAAGATGGAAATGCATACACGAGTTGGATCCAGATACAATCACTCACTTGATAAAAGACGTTTGGACATATTAAAAGAATACTCATTGGACATTCAAGAGGACACGTAATCACTTTTTTTCTTTAACAAAAATAGACATGGCTTATCCAGCCTTGAAATTCCTTCTCAATATATATAAAATTATGTCTTGTCTATTTACAGTCAGATAGCGTTCTGAGGGATTAGAAAGGTCCTGCTCCATCGCTGCTGGGGATTGTGGGTAGTGCAGTTTTAGTGTCGACCTATCCCAGGGCAGACAATCATCTGGTGTGTGGTTCTACAGGGCGGGGAGGGTTCATTTATTGAAATATTATTTCAATTTGTTTGTGCTCCAGCCAAGTCGTGTCACTGTAACTAACCAAAGTCTCGGCAGGAGACTGAGGTTAGCAGAGAATGATTGTAATATGCTGAAAATGATTGTGTGTTGACTTGTCAGCGCAGGGCTGGAGCTAGAAATGCTAATAGATGGACACCACTCTCCTGCCCTGAACTGTAGCTACTGTGGACAGAGCTGAGTGTGGAAAGGCGCCAGTTGTATTAATGCTATTTAGAGTGAACCTCTGCCATTATCACTAGTGACTGAAAATATTCAGGCATTGCCTTGTAAGATAAAGTTGCTACTGCTGTGCTTATCTATTGTAGTCTCTACTGTCTGGAGTTAACTGAAACTAGCGAAACCCATGAGTCAAGTCTTCAGTTGAGAACTTATATGCCAGATCTTCTTTTGTTTGTTGTTGAGGAAATATAATCAAATTACTACCTTCTCAGAGGATAGAGCACATACTGAAACACACTGCAAAAAAACCTGCTCAAATTGTTAATATGGCATTTTGTTGACCTTTATTGACCCGGGTCAGTTCATTGAGGAAAATAACCTGATTCTAATGACATCTATTTATTTCTCTCGCTCTCTCTCTGTTCTAACAGCTACAGTTGTTTTCCTCTGTGGGGTTTTTCAGTTTGGATGTCAAGCAAAACAGATGTGTGGCAGTGTTTCATCATGAGTTGGTGACATTCTCACTGGTTCTTGGTTTCTTCCTTTCCATTCCCAAAGATGAAGTTCTCTGTCCATGCTGGGTATGTGGCTCTGCTGCATCTCAAACAGACGATTGGTCCCACACCTGGAGGATTAAGTCAACAACATACAGTCTGTTACATACATGCAAGAACAGATGTTAATACTTTGATTTATGCTTATGATATCGGTACCAAAACATATGCTAAAAAAAGAAAATTGAGTGAATGAGTTTTGTGAACATAGTTGCAACTGACTGACTATCAACAGTGGTCCATCACCTACATACAGCAACTGCGGAGAAACTAAAGGAATAGTTTGACATTTAGGGAATTACTCTTACATGGAGAGTTAGATGAGATCAACAACACTCTCATGCCTGACTGTTAAATATGACTCTTAGCTTAGCATAAAGACTGGAAGCAGAGAATAACGGCTAGCCTGCCTGTGTGCAAAAGTAAGAAACTAATAATTTTTTTATCCATACAAAACAAGCATAAATTGCCGTTTTTTGTCACGTTGATGTTGCCAGCCACCAGTGGAGACAACTGGTAGTCGTTGCTCCCAGCAAGACATAATCCGGCACCTGACCCCCTTAAAACGACAACCTGTAGTTTTTACGCTTTGTTTTTTTCTTGCTTAACTTAACTAAGAGATTCTAGTTTCACATTTAACAGACAGA